ACTTCATATTTTTTTCAAAAACTTGCAATGCCATAAAACTTTGCGCATTAGGAAAAATAGAAAATTTGAATTTTTTTCTATCTCCCGATCGACGAGAGCAATAGAGAAGAATTGATTTTTCTGAAATTTTGATAGTTCCCGTGGAATAGAACTTCGAGGTAAATTCGCGTATTCAGAATAATTCAAAATTCTCGTTTTCAAGCATATTTTCTAGAAATTGAATTCTTTTCTATTCTACGCTTCTTACCGGGCTGGGCCAATAAGGGCGAAGGCGTGGCATAACCGCTAAACGCAAGAAATTGATCGGAAAATCCGGTGAAACTGATACCTGAAAAAGGCATGAATTGAAGTCACGGGGTGACTTGTTTTTTCTCTCCGTGAATAAGTTCAAAAAATATATTAACAGTTGAAATTTTCTTTTTCGTAAAAATTTACAAAAGTAGGGTCAAAACACACTTCATATTATAGACACCACAAAAGTGAACAAAATGTCACATAACTTCAGAAATGTATTTAGAATGATAACGCCCTTCTATAATCAAAATTGCAATGCTCTAACTATTTCCGTTCGAAAGATAATGAATTCGAAATCCCCTATGTTCAATATTTTAATTATTTTTCTTTTCAAGAAAAAAATTATTTTTAACCCGTTGACTGTCGCTGACGCATATATGCGCAAAACTAAGACTGGCCAAAAGTGTTCATGACGCACATATATGCGCAACTTAAAGAAGGTGTTTAAAAACTTCTTAAATGTTCCTGAAACCGGTTACTCGGAGGTTTTCGAGGTCGCTGATTACGAATATGACATTCGTTTTCCAAAATTCAAAATGGCGGATCCAATATGGTGGACGACAAAATAAAAAAATTGATTGGATTGACTTGAAACGTAATACTCGAGGGTTTTTGGGGTCGCTGATTACGAATCTGACATTAGTTTTTCAAAATTCAAAATGGCGGGTCCAATATGGCGGACAACAAAATAAAAAAATTGATTGGATTGACTTGAAACTGAATACTCGGGGATTTTCAGGGTTGCTGATTACGAAACTAAAATCAGTTTTTAAAAATTCAAAATGACTGATACAATATAGCGGACGACAAAATAAATAATTAATTGGATTGATTTGAAATATAAAAACTTTTTTTAAATAAAAAAATATAATGTAAAATCCTATGGCAGCTTCCTCGTGGTACATTCTGGGGTCGTGAATTTAAAAAATTTAATAAACTATAAAAATTAAATTCACCAGCTAATGTCAGGGTATTTAAAGAAATTTGATTTTACCAAAAATTATCATACTAATGTCAGAATTTTTAAAAACTGATTTCAGTTTCGTAATCAGCAACCCTGAAAATCCCCGAGTATTCAGTTTCAAGTAAATTTGATCAACTTTTTATTTCGTTGTCCGCCATATTGGACCCGCCATTTTGAATTTTGGAAAGCTAATGTCAGATTCGTTATTAGCGATCCTGAAAACCCCCAAGTAACCATTTTCAAGCGAATTTGACCAATTAAGAAAAATTTCCGACGTATTGGATCCGCCATTTTGAATGACTAATGTTAGATTCTTAATCAGCGACCCTTAAAACCCACGAGTAACCAGTTTCAATCAAATTCGATGAATTTTGAAAAAATTTTCGCCATCTTGGATCCGCCAATTTGAATTTCGAAAAACTGATCTCAGATTCGTAATCATCGATCCCAAAAACCTTAGAGTACCAAGTTTCATAAAAATCCATTAAAAATTTTTTCAACACACTTTTGGCCCTAACAGTGGAAATCTCGTTGACAGACAAGGGGTTAAAGAATTATTACTAAAAAGATTTAATGAATTCTGAAACACTTTTAATCACTGAAAAGTTAAAAATTACATTAAAAAATCAAAAATGTTTAAATGTTTAAATTAATTTTTTACAAATAAAAGTTTATTTTTTTAAATCTTATAAAACAGATAAAATAAAGTACTACACATTCCTGAAGTGTAAAACTAATTACATTTATTTTACACTATGTAAATAGTGTACTTGAAAAGTATTTGATTTTTTTATCCTTAAAAACACCTTGAATTTTATAATAAAACCTTGAAAAATTGAAATTCTTAATAATGAGATTTATTTCCCTGATATTTTAAGTTGAATTTTATTAAACTTTAACTGCATTAAGACGTTTCTTAAATCGATGTTTTCTATATTTTTAATACTTGGGTGATTAAAATTAAAATGTCATTTTCATGTCCTGACAAAAAATCTGGAATACTATTTTATATATAAAATTTTTGTAAGTTAATTAATTTTCTTAATCACTTCTTCTACTTAAATTAATAATTCTTAGTCGCTAGAAATTCTTTTAAAAAATTTGGCAGAAGAATTAGAAGTCAAATGTCAGTGGTGTTCCTTGTCCGCACTTAAGAAATCAGAACTTTACCTAATAATAAAAATTGTTGATTCTTACTTTTTTAGTACCAGAAAAATTATTTTGTACAACTGAGAGTCTATATTTTTATATAGTACTTGTGTCCGTAAGTTTCTTATTTTTAAGTAATTATCGCAAATTTTGAATATCATACCTGATATTTAAATAACCTAGTGCAGATAATTGTCTTTCTAAGCGATAATAGTGTTGGTGATATGTAGTGCTTTTTAAAGAAAAAACATTACAACATTCTATCACATCTATAACTTGTACGGTTGGTAGCAGAAAGCAAGTAACGCTTTGTTAAGCACACCATTTCAGTGGCGTCCCATAAAAAAATTGTTCATATTATTTATATTTTTCAAATATTATTGAATCTCATTTTCAGTTATAACACGTACTTTGAACACCGCAACGATTTTAACTTAAAAATAAAGTCTTTCTTTTTCGAAATTGAGAAATGAAGCAAAATTTCAGTGGTGTCCCTTGTCAGTGGTGTCCCCTCAAAATTCTGTTTCTTGCATCTTATTATTATATTTTTAATAAATTTGTGTTTAATTTACTTCTTATATGCAGTTAATGAAGATTTGATACTGGATTGTAATTTATAAGCTGATTTTATTCTCATCATTCCAAAAAAATTATCAGTGAAATCGTTCATAAATGTCAGTGGTTTACCTCAATGTTCATATGTTTTTTTGGTCTTCAAAAGTATATAATTTATGGCAGAACTCATTAAAAATATTTTTTAAGTCATGTTGAAACATTCATTATTGTAATTTGAAATATTTTAACTTTTTAAATTTGTAAGAATTTATTTGAGAAAAGAATAAACGAAAACAGAAAATTTCTTATCATTTCTGCCTATCGTTTTTCACCTGGTGAAAATTAAAATTTGCTTCCACCTGCTCGACCACTATTATTTTTGTCTATCATACATAATATATTCTAGTCAACCAAAATAGAGTATTGTTAAGTTCAAAATCCAACATCAAAAAATCAAAGTTAGTAGGATCAAAAATGACATTTTAATTTTAGTCACTCACTTTATCAATAAATTGTATTTTAAAGTTATTTATGAATAAATAACTATGTTGTATGTAGAAATTATAAAATTACTAAAAAATTAGTAAAAATGAATTTTTATTAGTAAGGGTGAGTAGAGCAAAAAGGTGCTAATTTACCTTTTATAGATGTATATTTTTTAAATTAAGCAATTAATTTATGCGGTCTTTGTTTTCCATGATTCTAAAACTAATCAGCCAAAATTTTTATAGTTGCTATTTAATATATTATAATTATAAAAACATTATTTAATGAAATTTAAAATCAATGCAAAATAATGCCTTTGCCCCATACGCTGGAGCAGCGACGTTTTTGCTTATATTTCTAAAAGAAAGCATTTATAAGCCTTAAAAAAATTAACAAGTGATTTTTTTTAAACTCCTTAAACTCAATCGGCCCATCTCGGGACTTTTAGAAAAATTTTCTCTACATTTTCAGGTATAAATAAATAAAAAAAAATTTTAATTAATCATGTCCAAATTTTTAAAAAATTCATCTTTCTATAAAATTTTTTTTAATTAAATATTAACCAAAATTTTAACAATTTTTTTTAAATTGCTTAAAAGGTAAAGAAAAACCAAAATTTTCTTTCTTTGACAACGTTTTTCTACACTCTCAATCTGAATCAGTGAAAATTTCACTGATTTCAAATCAGTGGCCCAGTTTTCTTTGATAAATCATGTTCTTTGACAACGTTTTTCTACACTCTCAATCTGAATCAGTGAAAATTTTACTGATTTCAAATCAGTGGCCCAGTTTTCTTTGATAAATCAGTGGAATTTCACTGACAATCAGTGGTTTTTAATGATTTTCAGTGAAATCCCACTGATGAATTAAAGAGAACTGGGCCACTAAATTGAAATCAGATGAAATTTTCACTGATTCAGATTTAGAGTGTAAATTCAATAATTTCAAAGTTATAAGCTATCTGAAAATAGGTCTACTTTTAAGAATCATAAATTTCGAAAATTCATAACTCGAAAATTTTGGCAGTTATAAAAAATAAAAAAATACACATTTAATATTTTTCTATATAAAGAACGAGAAAAAAATATGTTTAACCGATTTTAAAATGTCATAGAAAAATATCACGTAGAATATATAATTTTGATAAAATTCAAGTATAGAGAAAATAATAAAATATTATTAATTACTTTGGTCAAACGATCAATTCAATAAAAAAAACTTTACAAAATAACTGACGTTAAAATATAAATAAAAAAGTAAAAACAAATAACAAATAAGTTCAATTTCAACCGAACGAGCGTTAGCGAGTGAGGTATACATCGCTATAGTTATTAAAATTATTTCTAGCTTTATTTATAAAAGTCCTTGCATAATTCCATTCTCTAAATGTTCCTTTTCAATTTCTAGTTGTTTTTCTAACAAATTCTGTCAATGTCAATAATTTTTTAAAAAAAGAAAAAGCTGTATTTAAATTGGTTATTTTTTAACGTATCGTTCACACTTAGAAATAGCAGATATGAGAAAATGTATATGAGAGTATATAAAAATTTACCTAGTCATATGCATTTGACTCAATGCTATTGCATATTCTGCTACTGTTGTTTTACCAGCAGACGTATGAGCAGCTACAAAAACATTACAGTCCTCTTCCAATTTTATAATTGCTTGCTTTTGAAAGTTATCTAGTTCATATTTGAAATTAATGGCTGGGTTCATAACTCTTTTTTCAAAATCTGTAATAGTGATTGTCACATCCAATTGTTCAGCCCATTCTGCCTGTAAGAAACTTTTTCCCTCTTCAGTAATTTTCAATACAGGAAGTTTGGGGTTTGCAACAGGTTTAGTAATCGTGTCTATCGAAGATAATATATCATCTATGTTTGTTGAAATTTTTTCTTCAGACTTGGATTCTGCAATTCTATGCAATACAGGTTTTGCCCAAAAATCCAGTGAATTTGCTTCCTTGTCAATGATTACCATTAAATCTAAACAATTCACTTGTTCTAAACATTCCTTAACACACATTTGCGACATACTTTCAAACTGAACATTTTTTGGAGTATAATTGTCAGTTTCAAAGTCCATGCCACATTTGAAACCTTTAGCTAAAGTTTCAAGATTGCGTTCAAAGTCGATATCAATTAATATAGGTTCTTCAATTATTTTGGCTTCATCAAAACCACCAGGCCAAAATAAGAAATTGCTGGTATTACCTGATTCAAAAATTATTTGTTAATAAAATAAACAAATTAAATAACTTTATATATATATATATATATATGTTACCGTCAAACCCAGAAATTAGTTAATACTAGTATTACCTAGTCGAAACGAGTTCTGACATTGGCCTTTCGTCAATACTAATATTAACTAGTCAATACTAGAATTCACTAAATGCACTTTAGGGAAAACTAAAATTGACTAAGTTTACATTTTTTTACTGCTTTTCACTAGTTAAAACTAGAATTAACTAAAATCAATAGTAAAATTATTTTTGGATTTTAAATTGTAAGGTGAAGAGTGATACAAAAACATACAGGGTCAATAAATAACAATACAGGGTCAACCATTTGATTTCGCCTAATGTATTTTTGACTTTTATAAAAAATTTCAATACTTTGGGAAAATATTCTTATCTGTTTTGGGATGACGAAATGCATGATGACGTTTAAAAAAATAATTACATATTTTATATAAAGAAGATGTTTTAAATTATGAGCATATGAAAAAAGATTACATTGACAGACATTAAAAAATATTTAAAAAATGAGGAGACTCTTTAAGAAACATAAAAAAAGCGGTTGATATTTATTTTTAAAGGCTGAATTTGTGTTTTGTACTTGGTAAAAGTATGAAATAATTTATAATAAACTGTAAAATATGTTTTTTAAGTGTCTGTATGAAATGTCAAAAATCGATCATATTTAACAATTTTTTTTGACAAAGTAATTTAATTTTAGCAAACCAGAATTATTTAAATAATAAGTATTTTAAATACTCTTTAATATTATTTAAATACTTTTTTGACTATTAGCTAAGAAATATAAAAAAATTTACATTACCTATAAATTAACCATTCTTCCCAAGTACAATGCACTTATGTTTAAAAACCATTTTGGAAGTTACCGTCTGCTTTAGAAATCACTTATGTTAGTGGATCGTTTTGGAAACTATACGTATCTTTCAGGTTCCGAGCAGACATATATATATAAACACTTGGAGGGTTTTTATTTTGCAAAAGTTAGAAGTTTTTAGGTTACCAACCGAATTTAAACAATTTTTTAGAAAATTCAGTTCATATCTAGGAATGTAATAGGAGAGAGCGGGGTCGGAAGTGCTGATTTCGACAAAATGAAAGAAAATAATTAATAGTAAAATAAGAACTATTTGTTTTTATTTATGAACTACTTGGTGCAGAATTTTGTGTAGTTTTTGAATTTATGTATACTTTTTAACAATTTTTCATAGTTTTCAATAAAAATGTGACTTTTTGCAGCGCGGCGATGCGTCCCAACGACTCTCGCTGTGGGCCGGTTGAGCCGACGCTGGGGCAGATTGTGCCGCATAGAGTCTTAATTCTTGTTTAAATTACAGCACATGATATTATTTACTATAAACATTCAAATACTCAATCCTCCCCTACATTTTGTCAGTTGACAACTGTCAAAAAATCTGTTAACTTTTGTAAAAAAGAATTTTCCCTACTAAAAATAAAATCAGGAATCGTCATGAATGGTCAGAATTTCTGAACATTCCTGAACAGTCTCACCACTTCTGACGTTTTCGAACGTTTCTCACCATTTTCGAAGCTGTGACCATTTCTGAAATTCCTGACCATTTCTGAAATTCTTGACTATTTCTGAAATGTGTGAACACATAACCTATAAAAATTTTGGTACATCTTTCTAATTTTGGTAAAGTCTCATGAAAATTTATATATACATATAAAATCTTTCAAATTTATTTTTTACATTTCAGAATACATTATTCTATTATAAACATTGTTCTTTTAACTTAACAAAAGTTCTCATTTTTCAAATTGGTATAATTATTGAATTAATTATACAGCAAAAGTAGGTAAATAAATCAACACATTCGGACCATTCTTTTAACATTATTTAATATATTTATTTAATGTATATTTATAATAAATTAATTTAATATATGACGGGTTCCACGTCAAGTGACCCAGGTCAAAATTTTAAATGTTTGGGATAGGGTTAAAAGTTTGCTCAAACAGTAGTCCTATTAGATACAATTAAAAATACCAAATATTATTAATTTATTTAAACAAATATCAAAAACTGGAGGGGGTCAAAGTTTAAATTTTTGGTCTAACATGGAATATTTGAAAAATTTGTAGTTTCTTTAAAACAAAACGAAAATACGTTTTCTATTTTGGGTTTTTCTGCTGTTTTTCAACACTTTCTAATGGTGTAAACAAATGTAGAGGGAAAAAAATTGTTGACCTTGAAAAATTAAATTAAAAAATAAAATTTCATTTTTTCATCAAATGGACAGTTTTTATTTTTTAAAAAAAATTTTTATCATAAAGGTGAGGTTTTTTCCTAAAAAAAATGTATAGGTTAAAACGTGGGACAAGAACTTTTAACTGGTCAAAATAAACATTTACTTTTGCAATCCACCGCCCCTGCGCGTTGTTGGGCTGTATATTGTTTATAACAATTGAAATAAATTATTTTATGCTTTATTAATTATCTAGTGGTCATATTGGAAGAATTTAAATTGATTTAGATCATGTGCATCAGCGGAATAAGAAAATAAACGTCCTTTTTAAAAAAAGTGTATTAATTTTTTAACTTTGATTTTAAAAAAATTATAAATAATTAAAATCCCCAAAATCGGCCTCAAAGGATGTCTTAAGAATTTATTCCCCTTTAATTTAAGACAAAGAACATTCAAATCGGTTAAAAATTGTAAGCTATAGACATTTTTAAATAGTAAATTGTAAAAAAAATTCCACTGTGGGCCGGTGCAGTGCAGATGTAAATGCTTAATTTGACCAGTTAAAAGTTCTTGTCCCACGTTTTGACCTATATATTTTTTTTAGGAAAAAAACCTCACCTTTATGATAAAAATTTTTTTTAAAAAATAAAAACTGACCATTTGATAAAAAAATGAAATTTTATTTTTTAATTTAATTTTTCAAGGTCAAACAATTTTTTTTTCTTCATTTGTTCACACTATTAGAAAGTGTTGAAAAACAGCAGCAAATCCCAAAATAGGAAACGTATTTTCGTTTTGTTTTAAAGAAACTACAAATTTTTCAAATATTTCATGTAAATTTTTGACCTGGGTCACTTGACGTGGAACCCGTCATATGTATATTTACTAGTAATTATTTAATATAGTTAATTAATAATAAATTTTGTTTCATAATATTAGTAATTTACTATACCAGTCAGTACTTATTATGAGAAGTATTTGCATTATAATTGAAATACAGTTATATTTAAATTATTATTAATCATTAATAAAATAATTTCTTACTATAATGATTATTAATAATTTAAATTTAAAATTTATAAAAATTTCAATATTGCATTAATAATTTATTATTATTATAAATTATAATGTTAAATTAAATTAATATTAACTACTAAATTCATTTTAAATGCAGATATAATAATAATTATTATTAATCTGTATTCGTATTATAGTTTATGAAACATTCCAAATTGTAAAGTTAAGACTTAATTTATTATTGATTCAATTAATAATGTTAATTTTTATTAATTCACATAACCTATTATGACTAAATTGAAATATAATTAATTAATAAAAATTATTTAACAGTTTATTCTGATTTATTGATAATATTGGTAATTGAATTTTACTATTTTACAGTTGCTCTTTATATAGACAGTTGAATCCAGAAATATGTAAGTCGGTTCGGTAGTCGCAGTCGTTAGGGCAGTTAGTTTAGGCACTAGGTTAGGTCATGCGTCGGGGTTCGATCCCCGTAGGGTCCAAATTTTAATTTAATTCCGGGAATTAGTTTCAAGTTGTTCCGTATGTAAACAAACTGATATTAATTAATAAAATATATTTTTTAAAATTAATTTGTTGCAACTTTTTGCATATTGTTTAAGTAAATAAAACAGAAGTGGCTTAAAAATATGGTCAAAAATGAGATACAAATGGTCTCAAATAGTCACCAATTATGGGCGGGGTCAACAAAGAGGAGGGGATAGTAGCAAACTTGTGACCACTTTAAACTTCCTCCTGATCAGTTGTGATAGATTTCTGACGAGATCCATCCAGAATCGTAAGAAAACTGGATTAAAGTGGTCAGGCGGCCTGACCATTCATGATTTTATTTTTAGTAGGGTTTTAAACAGTTTTCCTGAAAACGATTTAACTGTGTTCCTTATTAACCCTTTGAAGCCCTTATTACCCTTTAGTGATAGTTTCTTACAAAAAATTTTGAAAAAACTTGATCGATACATACATTGTAGAGATGTGCAAAAAGCTCAAAGCTCGAGGCTCGATCGAGCTTTTCATTTTTCGAGCCGAGCCAAGCCGAGCCTAATCAGTTCGAGCTCGAGCCGAGCTGTGCAAAAAGCTCGAATAATTTCGAGCACTCGAATTTTTTCGAAAAGTACTCGAACGTTTCGAGTACTCGAGTGCATTAGAGTACTCGAATTTTTTCGAGCTCTTAAGTAAATTCGAGTTCTAGAGAAAAATCATATAATTTTCGCATATATTTTAATTATAATTTTCGCATATATTATAATTAGCAAATTGAAATACACTTTGAAATTGAAGATTTATTGACTTTAATTCGCATAAATTCGAAATTTTCTACTTATTAATAGTTTTTTTGTCATTTAAAAGCTCGAATCCATTCGAGTACTCGATTTCACTCGAGTACTCGAATTTAATCCAGTACTCGAATTTACCCGAGTACTCGATTTTTTCGAGTACCCGAAGTCACTCGAGTACTCGATACATCGAGCCGGCTTGGGCTGGGCTTGGCTCGGCTCGGAAATTCGAGCTTTTTGCACATCTCTAATACATTGTAAAAAATAAAATTTTATTTTAAAAATTTTTAAATCTTATCGTAAATTATTTTAAAATTTTTAAAAAATATTTTTATTAAAAACTACGGGTGAAAACAAAACTTTTCATTATAAAAACGTCCAATTTGTTCAATTTTTGATCGAGTTATAAGGATTTAAAAAAAATTTCC